ATTTAGGTGAGTTTATAAATGAGTCTAAAAGTTGAGTTGGTGATAGCAAAAGGAGATTATAGTATTGAAGAAAGAAGTTATAGCATGTGGTAATAGCCTTAGTAGGAGTGAATAAGAAAAGGTTTAAGTCTAAGTAAAGAACTTCTGTAATAGTACTCATCATATATCTAGTTCTTACAATTGCAGAAAATACCAAAGCCTGCTCTATACATTGAGTCTGGCTATCATATAATTGGTCATTCACAAATATTTAGTAGATTGTTTCAAGTTACTAAGTAGTTTACTTACTCTGTTATTCATATTTAATTTTTTTAATATATTTTGTAATAGTTTTAGCTAGCCTTTTTTTTAACTTATAGTTTATGAGTTTATTTATATTCAACCTAAGGAAATTCTATCTTTTAATTTTTTGTTCTTAAAAAATATAAAATTATCATTATCTAATTCTATATCTTAATTATATAAAAAATTTATCAGAACTTTTGTTGTCTTATATTCTTTAACTTTTGTCTTATATCTTTCAACTCCATTAATTGTAAAAAATAAAATTGTTTTTTTTAGTAGAAATAGATATATTTATATATTTAGTTTTTAGATAGAATAAGTAATAAGAAAAAATTTATATATATAAAAACTGTGATTTATTTAAAATATTTTTTTATATTATAAAATTTGTTTATTATTATTCAAGTAGTATTATTAAATATCTTGTATATGAGTAATTGTTATCTCTTTTTATTAAATAATTTATTATTCAATATAATAAATAATATAATAAATAAATGCAACAATTACTAATATACAAAATATTAGATAACACTATATTTAAGTATGCAGAAAATTAAAAAACTATTTCTAAAGAGATATCATATTGATATTATAATAAGGTTATATAAATTCTTAAACTATCATTATAGTATTAATTGTTATATTTTGTGATGATAATTTATTTTTATTATTTTTATTTAATTATATAAAGATAACAGATAATTTAGTAACTTAAAACTATTATAAATAGTACTAGTCAAATGAATTTATACTAGTGACCTATTAGCATATTGATATTTTGATATGAGACTGATTTTAAACAGATATTTGGCTTAAATAGGATACCTTTTAGTAACAAATCAGATTTGAAAAAATCAATAGAGCTATTAGCATGCCAATATAACTATTAGTTAAATATTATAATAAATTAATATTTATCTTATAGTTATATCAGTATGCCAATAGCTCTATCAGTATGCTAATAGCTTTTTCAATTTTTTCAAATTTAATTTGTTACTAAAAAGTATTCTATTCAAGCTAAATATCTGTTTAAAATTAGTATTATATCAGGAATATTGATATGCTATTATATTATGATATTATATTAGTATAAATTCATTTGACCAATGTAGTGAAGCTTTCATTTATTACTTCTTTTTTTAAAAAATTATTATATTCATATTATTTATTTTATTAACTACTTTTTTATATATTTTATAATATAGATATAAATAATAATTGTATTTATTACAATCTTGATATCTGTATAAAGATATAAATCAAAAATTAATTAATTAATTAGTTAATTGAGTTGGCAACTAATCAATTAACTATTACAAACATAATTTTAATTAGTTGACTAACTAATCAATTAATCAATTTCTAACTAATTGATTAATTGATTAACTAATTAATTAATTAGTTTGTAATTAATTAGTTATCTAAATATTTAATAGTAGTTTATAATTAAAATCAAATTAGTTAGCTTATTAAAATTGAATCAGCAAGGTTATACTTTTATTAAATTTAATAAATATTAATTTATATAAATATATATTATTATATAAAACTTGCTTTAATACAAAATAGATTGTATGTAGGTCTGGTGATTTTAGTGTAGTGGTTAGGTTACCAGACCACCATACAAGTAGTCTGAGGTTCAATTTCTACTATTAATGAATTTGAATAATTACTCAGACTTTTGTACCCAACTTACGGTAAACTCTGCTTGTTTCTGGGGGTTACAACCCTGTAAATCATATTGTACTAATGTCAATTAGACATTGGGAGTATGATGCAATGCTCAAGTTATGTTACATGAGTAAATCTTGATAAGATCTATAGGCAAGGGATCTGTTTGGTAGAAATTCTGAGTTTGGTAAAGTAGTATGGATTTCAATGGTCAAGCCAGTTAATATCTAATTTAGTGAAAACCTAAATATGAAGGATATGAGATCGATAGATGCGAGTAAGTCTGCTGTGTAATGCAGCCTGGTACTTTGCATTAGTAGCAACACCAACTTGGCTTAGCAGCTAACTAAATTAGGAGAATCTACCTCATAAAACATCTAGCTAAAACTTGGAGAACTATATCTAGTAGACAGTCACAGCAAGAACTGGGTTTGTATGAACATCAACAAGGGTCTAATCTAGGTGAATTTGTAAAATAGGCATATGATCACTCTGGTAAGAATTACTTCTGAGGTTAACCAGAGCTCTGCAGCTCACAATATATTAGGTATATACATCCTGAAAGGACCTAAGCTATGCAGAGAATGGATCTACGAGTGAACCAGCTGGCTTAAGCAGTTGGTCATAGTAGTGACATTAGTTTGGAATAGGGAGAAGAGTTAATGATCAGAGTGTTTAAATAGGTAACTTACCAGCAGATTGCAGGTATAGCAGCATAATATAGAATTAACAAATGGTCGATCATCTGTATGGCAGACTACTTAAATTAGACAATGACTAAAGTTGTACGTATAGCTTATTGTATACTTATCATATAACTATAAAACCTTAGAAAACTATTCATATGATAGTTCTGTAATAACAAATAAATAAAATCTAATCAGCCAAGGAAGTAGCCTTAATAACAAAAAATAAAATAGATTGTATGTAGTAAAAGAATAATTTTTTTTTTTTTTTTTTACAAATACTATCAGCTAAACTTTATTAATTTTATAAATTTCAGAAGTGATACATATTATAAAAGTATAACTAGCTACATATACAATTTTATATTATCTATTTTAAATAGTCTGCCTGAAGGTTCTACACTAGCTACTATATCTGAAATCTCTTAGAAGATTTTATATTTAAATTCTTTAGTTCTATCTTACTTACTGCAAATATTACTCTTATAGTTAACTATAACCTTGTACTACTTCAATTTAGAAGGCACCCAAGCTAATATTAGTCACAAACTTTATTATTATAAGCTCTAGATTCTATCTATATAAGTCCTAACTTTAACACCTCTAACAGATAGGTGTCATAATATCCAACTATGCTATACTATATTCCAATTTAGCTTGTATATATCTTTATTTGATGTTCATACAAACCTAGTTCTAGCTATAGCCCTCCACCAGTTTAGACTTCTATGTCCTTTCAAATGTTTTACAAAATAGATTCTTCTAATCTAGTTAGCTGCTAAACCAAGTTAGTGTTGTTATAATATCCAATATTATAGACTTACTCATATCTACTGATCTGTATTTTCATACTCAGAAATTCTTGCCTGATCAAGCATTAACTAGTATAACTATTGAAATCTGTACTACTTCATCTAACTCAAGATTTCTACTATGCACATCCTTTACTCATAGATCCTATCTCAATTTATTTATGTAATACAACTTCAACATTCTATTACACTTCTAATATCTGAACAATATTAGTGCAATATAATTTATAGAGTTACAATTCCTAAAAACAAATAGAGTTTACTATAAGTTGAATACAGATATTTAGGTAATTATTCAATTTTGTCAACAGTGAGATTTGAACTCTAGACCTTTGTATAGTAGTCTGACAACCTATCTAATACACTAGATTGCTGGATTTTAGTAAAAGAATAATTAATTCTTTAAGTAGATATAATAATATAAGAATAGTACTAAAAATTTAAGATTCTCAAAAATACTGCAAGAAAATTTTATTTTTTGTACTAACTAATTTTTAATTCAAAAGTTTTATTTTATTTTTTTATTTTTATATTTAAGGTAGCTTATATTGCTAATAAGATTTTATTAGTTTTGTATATAGGATTATATATTAATAATCCTTACTATTTATAATTACATGAAGAATATATAACAAGTTTTATATACAACTTTAGTTATTGTCTATTTTAAATAGTCTGCTATACAGATGATTAGACTATCTAATTAGTTCTATACTATGCTATCATATCTGTAATCTACCTGTGAATTACCTATTTAAACACTCTATTTATTAACTCATACAGATCTAATCTTAATATTACTGCAATACTTAATTGCTTAAGCCAGTTAGCTTGTTACAGATCTATTATCTAAATTAGCTTAGATCCTCTTAAGTTATATTATACCTAACATATTATAGGTATTGCAAAGCTAATTAATCTTAAAGCAAATCTACTAGAATAGTCTGCATCTATTTTATGAGTTCACTTAGATTAGATCTTTGTAGTATTTATATGATTTCAGGCACAACTTTTTATATCTTTACTAGTACCTTGTACTTTTCAAATAATCAAATTCTTCTAAATTTAGTTAGCTATTTGGCTAGGTTAGTGTTGCCAATTAGCAAATTAAACTTACTCACATTCTTGTATCTGAGTTTTTTCTTCAGATTTCAGATTTTACTAGTATAACTGTTAAAGATTATACTACCTTACTACTAAGAATTTCTACTATAAAAGTTATCTGCTCATAAATCCTATTAATATTTATTCATGTAACATTACATCACACTTCTAATATTTGATCAACTTAGTACAACTTGATTTATAGAGTTATAACTTCAAAAACAAATAGGATTTACTGAAAGTTAGATACAAAAATCTAGATAATTATTCAAATTCATTAACAGTGAGATTTGAACCCCAAACCTTTTGCATAACAGTTTAACAACCTAACCACTAAACTAAGATCACTAGATCTAAAAATTTTATTTTTTTATGATAGATCTAAAATTTATTTATTATTAATTTTATAGACTTAAATATAGATATATATTCATATTTAATGTTTTTTCAAAGTAACAATTATAATTATTGCAGTTCTCAGTAAATTTTAAAGATTTTCTGAAAACTGTTTTATAAAATAACAACATAAATAGGTAAATTTGCTTTTATTTTTATGGTTAACCGCAAACAGTAAAGCCAATCAAATTTTAGGATCAGGTGTAACGTGAAATCAAAACGCTAATTTTGCATTCTAACGAAAAAAATTCCTTGCAAAATTTTGGTATAAACCATGTTCTGCTCTAACCCTAATCTTTAAAGAAAAAAAGATTGTTTTGATTTTCACGTTACACCTGAACTTCAAATTTTAAAATAACCATAGCTACAAAATCATTAATTCTTATTTTCATTTGAATCGACTTAATTTTTTTGTTTTTTGTTGAGAATTGAAGTTTTTTTCTATACATAACCCGTCTGGGCTAATTTGTTTAATCTAAATAGTAGTAATCGGTTTTTAGTGTTCTCAAGAACATGAAATTTAAAAATTATGTTCTCTATGATAACATTCAAGAACAAAAAGTTTAAAATTTAATTATAAAAATTTTTTTAAGAATATTAAAATCTTTTTTGAGAACATTAAAAAGCTTTTTGAGAACCTAAAAATTAGAATTTATATTTCTCAAAAAATACAAAAATTTTTTCAGATATTCACTGATCGGTTCTGGTCAAATTTGGACAAATTATGGTATTAAAAATTTTAAACTTGGCCAAACGAACTGCAAATTTGACTAGAGTTATAAGTAATCTGTTCTAATTAGATCATTAGCCCAGACGCAAATACCCATTGCTATAACCATAATTTGAGTTAGAGGTGTTTAAAAGCTCCGGACGATTACATAATATCTTGGATAACTACTTAGGAATACAAAATGAGATGAAGCAAAACTATTTAATCTAAAATTAAAATTTCGACTTTTATTTAGCAATTTTTTCAATTGGTTTTTTTTTTTGAAGTTTTTTTTTGTGTTTCACATGCACACATTGTAGTCAGATCAATATTTCTTAGGACAGCTTGCATTTTTTTCGTTGAATAGATACCAGAATTATGTTCTGCTTAATTCGATTCAGCTTTATATTATTAATAATGTAATGAAAATTTTTTAATTGCAATTAATATCTTCGACTTTATTAGTATATAATAAATTGTATGTTTCGGTGAATAAATAACAATCATAGTTGCTTGACGAAATTATGTGATGCTAATCATCACATAGCCATGAATAGTAACATGTGAATTCACAAGTTAATGGAACTAAAATTATTAACATGTGGCTGTGTGATGATTAGCGTCACATAGTTTTGTCAAGCAACTATATTACAATATTATCCTATGATTTACAAGTTTGAACTTTTCTAATTTAAAATCAAGTATTGCCATATTTAAATATTTGTCTACTTTTATCCCTTAAACTGTATTCCAGGCAAATTTGCCTGGAAAAACATAGTAGCATGTGAAATCTACAGACGAAGGGATAGATAAGCGTAATTTGAAAGAAGAATAACCACCTTCATTTATTATTTATTTATTATTTATTTATTTATTTATTTACAAAGCAAGATAAAACTGTGAAGGAACAATAAGCGAAATAAAAAGTGCAATATGAGAAAAAAAAAAAGAAACTATAAAATAAATCACAATAATTATCGTTAATAATGATAGTGATTTCGTCCGGAACAATCAACCTTGTACACATTTTCGGAACGTTTTGAGTCGATTGAGTCACGCTTTTTCAACTCGACTCTAACAGACAAATGAATTCTTAATCGCAGGGGGTATTATTTTTTAGGGGTTTTTAAGTGCTGTTTAATGAAGGATTAATATTTTTAAAGTCAAAGATGGAAAGCAATCAGGTTAAAATCTAAACTGCAGCCATTGATCCTAATTGAGCATGCAGATGATCCAATACAATATGAGCGAATATTAAGCCAGATAACGATAAGTCTGATTTAATAGTTTGCTTAATTTGATAATTACTAAAAATAACTCCATTGTTATGGAAGCACCGTAATAAGAACAAGCAAACTACCTAGCCCCAGCCCATGTAGAAACAAGTTGAAATCCTGCCATTTTATAATTTCATCTCAATGTCGGCTGATTCTACACATCGAATTTAACAGATGACGGAATTATCGTGCGAAATTCTACATTTAAAGACAATAATTCGGAGTTCTAAAAGAATAGGAAATTGAGTATTTTTAAATATTTAAATATTCTCAAATAATTATTTGCGTCTTTTTTTACAAAAAAAAAAAAAAAAAAAAAAAAAAAATGAATAACGAAAAAACAGATAAAATTCCAACAATTTTAATTATTGGAGCAGGACCTGGTGGACTTTCACTTTACCATTCGATTCAAAAAAATTTAAATCAAGCTGGAACTAAATTCAAAGTGAAAATATTTGAACGAGAAAGTAGTCCACATGGTTTGTTTTCATTAAATAATTTAATAATAAAATATAATAAATTTAATCTGTTATTAAATCATCATAAATTCAATAAACTTATATTAGATAGATATCAAGGTTGCATTATGAATATTTACAAATTCGGTGTGAGTTCTCTTTTTTATTCCCTTCCCACCGAAGTCCAAGCCCGTCTTCCTGATGCAATGCCTGATCCGATTCCAAATATTGAACGTCATGGTCTGGATGTCTTTGATCACACAGGAAAAAAGCTATTAGAGATGCCAGTCTATAAATATAAGAATGTTTTTGAGTTTGTTCAACTTAAACAAAAACTTCCATGGTTTTTTATTTATCGAAATACTTTGAGGGAGATTTTATTGAATGATGTAGATGTGCAATGGGGCAAGAAGTGCATCAGATATGAAGAGACTGATGAAGGTGTTTGTGCTATTTTTGAGGATGGGAGCAGGGAATTTGGCAATCTGTTGGTCGGTGCCGATGGAATTAATTCTCCAAGTAAGTTTTGTTTTCTCTCTTCTTTCCTGAAAATGATTGATTATAATTTCTTTTTTACTCTTATAGTTAGAATGCAGAAAATGCCAAATTTACAAGTTAAAGATTCTGGGGTTTCCTATGTCGTTACAGATGTATATCCAACTAAAAAACTTGCGAATCAATTGATCTCAATTTGTGGAAATTGTATTGCACAAGAATCCATCGGACAAAAGGGAGATAACCACATTACTTTAATGCGTCTTATACCAATTAAATCTGAATTAGAAAATCGAGAAGATCAAATTTATTATAGATTTACGCTTATGTATTGTTATCCTACTCGTTTCAATAATCTCAATGATGATTATAATAATATTAATGATAATATGGATGCAGTTATCGAACATGTTAAGATTCTGATCAAAAAATTACGCCCTTCAGGTGAATTAACCGATACATTGCTAGAATTGTGGTCACTTGTTCCAACTGATACACCAGAAAGTATGGCAAAGACTCCATTTAAAATGTCCATTTATCCTAAAATACGTCAGATGATAGATATTGATCCACTTTCAGTTACTTCATGGGAAACAAGTAGAGTAATCTTATTAGGTGATGCTGCGCATGCAGTTAACTATTTGCCAGGAATAGGCACGTATTTATCATTCATATTACAAACTTTATTTTCAATTTACTGAACTTTATTCTTCGTGTATAGGCAACTCTGTAACATTTCAAGATATAGAATCGTTGACTAACGAACTTTTAAGGTATGAAAGCGATGGTTGGAAAGTATGCATTCAACGATATGAACAAGAAATGAGAGCCCGTTCTTCTAAAATATCATTAAAATCAACAAGTATGCTATTACTAACTATAAAAGAATATGGTTATTTTGGCATAATTGTTAGGAATTTGATTTATAAAGTTTTCAATGTTTTAATTAGTTGTTTACCATATGATCTTGTAGATAGACTTTTTTGTAACCTTTATGGAGTAGAATAGACTTCTTTTTTTTTCAGGGTTTTTTTTTAGTTAACAGGTTATAAATGCAACAATTAAGCTTTACATTTTTATTGAAGTATTCACAATCTTGTCTGTTTCGAAGAAATAAAGAGTGGTTTACATTTTTTTATTATCTTTAGTTTTATTAGTAAATCTAAAGTGTTACTAAATACCGTAGTTTTCAGCAAATTGTATCCTCTTACTAAAATAAAACACCTTACTTGGCAATTTGAGTCATGAATAGAAATTTTAGTACGTACTAGGGGAGTTTTTAGGCCTTAATATTATTCCGAAAGTTCTAACTAAAGGTCTTATATATGTTATGCGTCATTTTTCAATTTACGTCGATTATTAATTGACGCATGTCATTTTTCAATTGAAAAATGACATACGTCGTTTTTCAATCGGTATGAATTTTGCGGATTAAAAAAAAGTTGCCAGAAAAATTATTTATATTAAATATTTAAATTCTAATTTAGCTACATTTTGACCAAACATATTCAAATTAATGTAATATATTAATATTTTAATAATAAAACTAACAATTTTTCCATTGTCCATGTAAAACACATCCACAGCGTCTTGAGCATAACGAATTATTTTTTCTGCAAGAGCATAATTTCGTGTTGCAATTCGTTTTTCATAATGGCAACAGTCTGGACAAGGTCTTTGGCTTAAACCAATATTTCCATTACTACAATTAAAATTTATATTAGCGTTAGTAAAATTTTTATTAAAGTTTAAAAAATTTTTAAATGTATGAGTTGAGCGTTCTTAAATTGAGCGTTCTTGAGTTGGTTCGGATGCTCTTGAGTTGTATCCCCATCAGAAATTCGAGTCATAGCAATATATCTATTTAATAACATATATAATAATAAATTTTTTTTTTTTTTATGTTAATGTTACAAATTATTTACCTGCCTGTATATAATTTAGAAATAATTGGACGCATCGGTGTGATTCTTTTTGGCATTCTTCGAGTAACGCATACCTTACATTCATTGACAGCGTCTTAGACTAACGGATCTATTTATAATTAAATAAAAAAAATATATATAAACCTTTCACCAGGTCTTCCTGATGAGCACCACAAATAACTTTGTAGAAATTTTCAACCACGCACTCTTGGGTTCCCATATTATTTCTGCTTTGTTTACGTATGTAAAGTTTTATAATACCAACGCGAAGAACTTTAAAAGTATTAATGTTTAAACGTTAGGTTACACTGAATATCTTTATTTTTTTTTTAGTTTAGACATTCAAGCTTCGTTTATTTTATTTTATTTTATTTTTTTGATTTGTATAAGTCTCATGGGTTAGAACAACTTTATGGATTTCATTATTAACGAAGATGAATTACAATTATTAAGTATAATAAAGAACTTCTTAAAAAAACATTTTATTTATTCGTTATTCACCATCATTCGTATCAATATAATACGTAATAAGTTATGTCTGTCATAATCCATCGTTAATTGCATTAAAAATTGACCTGCGTCGTTTATCAATCGGTGAAAATTGAAAAATGACAGGCGTCAATTAATAATCGACGCAAATTGAAAAATGACGCATAACATATACACATGCCATAATTTAAAATAAAGTTACAATATAACTAGTTATACCTCAGTTACGATACGGCTCTTTCCAATGATTCATGTTCCATCTGCATAAAAAAATCTTAACATTAAACAAATTAAAAATTCTAAGTTGTATAACACTTGTAACAAACTAAAACCTAAAGTAGAAAGTAACTCCAATTTGGGCTGACTAACTAAATTTGGAAATATATTTTGAACACGTTTTTTGACAAGACAAATTTATACAAATTTCGACCACAAACAATCATTGTGCGAAGTCAATTTTTTAGGTATATCTGATAAGATGAAAAACTTAGTAAATTAATTTGTTTAACATTATCCACATAAGTCATAATTAAATCTAGAAGACTATATGGGATCTTTGCTAGGATTTTTTTTTTCTAAAAATAGATTTATTATGTTTTTCTTAATAAAAATCTTGCGTGGCAAGTTATCCACGAACTTAAAAGATTAGCTATAACTGTCTCGAAAATAATTACTACTGTGTAATGAATATTAATAAATACAGTACGTACGTACATATGAGTGTCGCCAAAAGAAAACGTACGTACCTATAGTCTAAAAATAGATCAGATTTCATAATAATCTATTTTTAAAATTGTACATTTTTATTTAGAGACACTCATATAATAAGTAGTTTCTAAATTAAACTAGTAAGTCAAAGAAAATTTTTTTAAGAGTTTTCCTTAACTTTTAGTATATTTGACGATTTTTTTAAAAAGAACAAATTTTTGTGCATCACAATAAATTATAGTTGCTGCCGTAATTGCTGAATTACGGCAGATGCCGTAATGCCGTACATATACCGAAAGCACCTGAATGCCGTAAATGCCGTAAACCATAATGCCCATAATGCCCATAATGCCGTAATGCCGCAATGCCGTAATTGCATTTTTTCTGAAAATCAATTACGGCAGCAACTATACAATAAATGCTTTTCAATGATTGGTTAAAAATTACAGATTATTTTGTCATTATAGTCGAAGAATCAATTAATTCCGAGATCATATATTTGCATTTTTTTCTAGATGATCTCAGTGTGATGTGGTTGCTAATCGCAGTAATTTGACCCTACGAGCCATTGTTACGCTAGATTTTTATTAAGAAAAACATAATAAATCTATTTTTAGAAACAAAGATCCCAATAAATAAACAAGTAATTTATAACATCTAATCAAAGGATCAAATAATTTCAAATATACACGTATAATTAATTATATACATAAATGAAAAAATGAAAATAAAAAATAAAAAACAAATAATATTTACTTTTTTTTTTTTGCAACCATTGTTACAGCTATAACAGGTGTTGGGGAATCATAGAAGTTTGTAAATCACTACCATATCACATTTTATCAGCCACATACGTACGTACCTAATTATAATTATCGGAAAGATGTTTTTAGAATTTGTTATTTTTGTTTTAAATCAGCAATGCATGGCAACTTTTGTGAAAGTTGTGCAGCAGCTGTATACCTTATCAATTAAACTTATTTAATATATTTAGGATACTATAGATGTGAAACATTCAATAACAAGAATTATTTTTTTTCATAATGATTAACATGTGATCCGAAGGATCACGCGTTAATCATTATAAACGTACAAAAATAATTCGTGTATATGGCCGTTTAACTTAATATGCCTACTATGGGCCCCGAAGGGGTTCAGAAGCTAGCATATTAAGTTTCACTGCCAGATACCAAAGTTATCGGTATTATCCAGTATTCTACGGCGATTGGGTTTGCCAAATAACTTCATATAATATAATATAAGCACATTCACGTGAGATTTTGTTAGAATATACGTATTTTATTGTTTATCGTTATAGAAAAATATTTCTATCTAAAAAATTAATCCGATTTTAATGTTTATTCCATGAGAAATGTTTATTAAAATGTCAAAAAATAATGTCTCATATTTCTCATATTTTAAATTTTTTTTCAATTACAGGTTACTAAAAATATATAATATTTTTTCTCAAAAACATAATAATATTTCTAGTGCTAACATCAAATTCTGAGTACTGTAATTTTAATAAAATCAGATAAAATAGATAATTTTAATAGATTTTTGGAATTGCATTAATGTAAAAGTGAAAAGTATCATGTAATTTTAATAAAAAATTCAATAAGTTGCGATCATAATACATAATATCTTATTACATTAATTTTTATAGTTATATACAGATTTTTTTTTTCTTTATACATTAATGTTAACACTAATTGAGGCTAAATTAGGTGTTAAAAATATTTGCGCCACTATTCTGTATATTTAGATAAAAAAAATAATTGCTTTTTTTTTCTAAAAATTTGATCACACAAAATTTATATATATAACTCGTAAAAGTTATAATTATAACTCAAAAATTAGGACTAATACGTATAAAACATATTAATAACTATTATAATGACTTAATATGTTATTCATTACTAACGTTGCACAAAAGATGTTATCAACTCATTTTATAAAAAATAACTTTTATGTTGTTGCTGGGGCTGCTGGGGCTGCTGGTGCAGTCGAAGCGATTGTGGCCGCTGGTGCAATTGTTGACGCTGTTGGTGCCGTTGTAGGTGCAGTTGTTGCTGCTTCTGTTGCAGTTGCCGCTCCAGGTGCCGCTGCAGGTGCCGCTGCAGGTGCCGCTGCTGGTGCCGCTGCTGGCGCCGCTGCAGGTGCCGCTGCTGGTGCCGCTGCTGGCGCCGCTGCTGGTGCCGCTGCTGGCGCCGCTGCTGGTGCCGCTGCTGGTGCCGCTGCTGGTGCCGCTGCTGGCGCCGCTGCTGGTGCCGCTGCTGGTGCTGCCGCTGCTGGTGCCGCTGGTGCAATCTCTCCTCCCTAGTTATCAAGATGGTAAAAAAAAAAAAAAAAACAGTTTAAACATTTTTCTCCGGTTTAAAACAAATGATGAATTAAAGTCCGAATAATTAATTCTGGATTTTAGTATATCCAGATCATAATCATCACTTGTTTTCTAATTACTTAATAAAAATATTTAAATCCCTACCTGATCATTAACATTAATTGTAGCAGGAGATGTACCGCCTGTTTGACGCTTCTTACTATTGGACAGGCAGCAAGATTTGATTATCATATATATGCCCGTTTCTGGTCCTTGATCCATAAGGAAGGTATTTGGTTTTGCTTTCTTATCTTCTTGTCTGTCTTTTTCCATTTTTTCAATCATTTTTTTGTACTTATCCTTCTTACCATCACATGTCTGATGTTTGAACCCTTCGTTACCACAATCCCAAGTTAAACCGTTACATTTGAAAATTGTGGGTTTAGTTCCACAAGGTCCATTAAAACCTTCTGATTCACAGGTGTCTTTGGGTTCGGAATCACCTCTTCTCTCTAAAGGACTTCTCCTTTTTCTATAGCTCATTTTTGGACTTTCATCGACATAATAACCATTGCAAGGGCTATCACATGCTATAATGTCTGATTTATAGAGTGAATCTGTAAGATTATATATCACGTCACCACAACTTAGATGTAAAGATAGAAGAATTACATTATTTTAAAGAAGTTGTTAGCAATTATATTAGATATTAAA